TACACCAATACCCCGTTTTGCGTCGATTCGATTTGAGTCATGTTTTTCAGTAACCTAACCTCGACGCAAAACGGGGTATGGTGTACCCTTTGCCACTAGTGCCTAGCATTCTACAAGACGTACGAAAATCACTGAGAAACACCGAAACACTGCAACAGGTTATTGCATGGCTCAGACATAGGTACTGACAAAAAGTCTAATCCTCATTCCAACATCTAGAATGTAGCGAACCCCAGGGGGTCACAGGATATGGGGCACGAATGCCTCGCTACATACGGGGATCAGACCCAATGTGGTCAGTTGGTAAGCAAGAAGGATGCGTGTTCTTTTAGATGGTAATTTAGCAAGGGAGAAGCGAATTTCCCTTAGCTCCGCTGACTCCAAGTAGGAAGGGAGGTACATCCTTAGATCAACTTTAACAACTGTGCAGAATTTATTAGGATACTCAATGGGGGGAAAAACGGAAGGCGATATACAGGGAAGATACAGCCTCGCGTTCGTGGGGGGGGGGGACTCGCACGCACTTCATCCTGATACGTGGACGGTCGAATCCGTTGGTTCCTGTCCGCCAACCGTGGTCCAGGTCGTCGGCTGGTGATGAGTTCACGGCAGTTCACTATACTGACCGGCTGTGGGGGTCGGAATGCGTGGCTCGACACGCCACGTGTTGTCCGGCCGGAGGTTCAAGACGGACTGCGATGGGGCAGGACGAGGGCGTGAAGGAGCGAGTGGCACCCTATGGCCACTCAGCGTAGGAACTCGGGGGACTCTTCCCCTCTACTCATTACCTCACTTAGGGCACGAGGAGGACTCCACAAGAAGCCCTCCAATGTCGATCGCTTATCTCTTAGGTTGTAAATGGGAAGGTACCTCTCTCTCAAAGGAAACGATAGGGCTTAACCTTGAATCGTCTGAAATAAGCATAGGCAGCGATTTGTTGAGAAATTTGGGGGGCTCAGAGGCAGTACTCCAAGTATTCCTTATTCTTCTGCCAAATATTTGGGGGGGGGGGGGCTCGAGTCCCCTGAGCCCCTATGAATCGCCGCCTATGTAAATAAGTAATCAAGAAATAAAACAAACTCCTTCATAAATGTTCCCTTGGCAACTTTTATGTTCTGATCTTCTTTGACAGACCACCTCAGACTTGCTGCTTTGATGAAGCTGAATTTAGAAGAGATAGATAACACAATACTGCACAATACAGGGTGACCCAAAAGTCTGGACACAGGTAATATTACTAATATTGTTTTTTCCCCAGATTGAATATGAGTTTGTTGAAAGAAGAACGTATTGAATTGGTACTGCTGAGTTACTGCATCGTGTTCATGTGAATCTCGCAAAGCGCATCGAACTTGGCATCGCTAATGATGGGCGCCATGTTGAAAATGTTATTGAATAAAATTACTACATTTTCGCCTGTGTCCAGACTTTTGGGTCACCCTGTAGTTTTCCATCATCAAAGATGCAGGGGTGAATCTCTTCTCCACATTCATTCCTCAGTGCCTCATGAATTTCAATTGGTGTTTAGTGTTTGCTAAATTCTCCAGAATCTCGCAAGCTTCAGCTTCCAATTACAACATTCGAGGTGCATACCAAAAGTCTGTGACGCTAGCATATAGCGGCCGTGTACTTAACTATATTAAGGCCAACCGTTTGTTGTCGTTGTCTCTATTCCTTTCTCCATCATCAGTCGTTTCGTTGCTGTGACGCAAGTGACATAATGTTTGCTATTTATTTCCGAAGGGTCACTTTCCAGACTGGGCTAAAACATGAATTTCACAATCGAGGAACAAAGAGTTGTGAAATTTCTTGCAGCACGCGGGGAAAAACTTGTTGACATTCATAGCCAGCTTAGGGAAGTATGTGGGGATAATTGTCTTGCTGATAACACCGTTCGCAAGTGGGTGCGTGAGTTTGCTGGCGGCAGAGGATCCATCAAAGACGCAGCCCGATCTGGAAGGCCAAAAACCGCGACTTCTGGCGAAAACATCAGGCTTGTGGAATTCTTGGTGATGGAAGACAGACGTTTTTTGACTGTTGATGAAGTTGCCTCAGGGTTAGGACTGTCTCATGGCACAGTGGAGAGGATTTTGTCTGATGAACTGCACATGAGCAAAGTCAGTGCTCGATGAGTGCCACACATGCTTGATGAGGACAAAAAGGAAAATCGCTTCAACATTTCTGGTTTAATGTTAACACGAAATGTGGCGAATCAAACGAATTTTATGGATCGTATCATCACAATGGATGAGTGCTGGATAGCCCTTTTCAATCCAGAGACGAAGAGACAATCGAAGCAATGGAATCACAGTGAATCTCCGCCACCAAAGAAATTTCGTCAAGTTGCCTCCAATAAGAAAAGCCCTCTACCCCTTTTTCTGGGAAAAACGAGGTTTGATTTTGTCTCACCCCATTCCAAAGGGTCAAACAATTACTGGACAATATTATCACAACGTTTTAGAAAAGAGACTCCATCCAGCTGTGGACAAACTATGTCCACATCTCGCCAATGGCAACTTCATCCTTCATCATGACAATGCACCACCTCACGCTGCCCGTGTTGTGACAGAGTTCTTGGCTGAGAGGAGCATTGAATCTCTGTCATCCTCCATATTCGCCAGACCTGGCACCAAGTAACTGGCTGTTCGGGAAACTGAAAGACTCGCTACGGGTAACACGATATCCATCACGAGCGGCCCTGGGAACCGCAATTTTCCAGTAGTTCAAACGAACACCCGAAAATAACTTAAAATAACGAAAATAAATAAAAAGGTGGCGACTGTGCGTAGAGAAAGAAGAAGATTACTTGGAAAAGTGAACAAATAAGTTTTGAATTTCACCGCCGCCTCGACGAGCTGTACTCGAACGGCACGGACTTTTGGTATGCACCTCATACTTACGCAGGAGGAACATTGAGACTTAATACGATTTTAATTAAATCATTGGATGCAAAATAATTTGATTGAAGATGCATCGAATAGTAAAATTAACCCCAAGAAGTTTCTCTTGAAACATTTCACAATAGTGGTTGCCAATGAATACAGACTCGCAAATGCATAAACTTCTCTTTACTGAAATTACTTCCATTCCCGCGAACCGGTGCAGTGCGATAAGCAAGACTAGAGAGTAAGCATAATAAGATAGAGAAATTACAGCAAACCCAAATGAAGTAAAATAAAGAATAATAGTGTGGAAGTTCACATGCGAAAGACACCGAAGGTGGTATGAGGGATGGGCGCATTGAGTGTGGCACTCAGACTTAAGCCCAAGACGTGCCTTGTGTCCACAGGATCGATGATCCCATCATCCCACAGACGAGAACTGGCATAATAAGGATTTCCTTCCTCCTCAAAACGAGCTATAATGGGGTCCTTCAATGCCATCTCCTCCTCCTGCGTGAACTGGTCCAGAACAAGAAAGAAAGAATGCTTTAGTTTTCATTACCCCAGGCAAGATCACACCCATGTAACACAGCTCAAAAAGTACACTCTTATCCAACCATGTTTGACATGGCCTCACAAGCATTTTAATAATTAAGGGCTCCATGCAATAAGATGTTACCATATAATTGATCAAAATCAAGCATTGCAAAAGGAATTCCCACAATTCTGTCATCTTTTTCATGAAATGTGAAAATTTACAGATTAAGCTGACAGGCTTTCCATCAGTGTTGCAGGTCTAAGAACTGCTATCATTTATTTTGAAAAGAGAGTATGTCACTTGACATACAGTCCTATAAATATTGTAAATAGAACATGAGGCCAGAGAGTGTAACTGTGGAGCAGGCAAAATATCTACAGATGACCAATCTGGGATTTCAACCATCTACAGGCACACTTTCATATAGCATGGAGACAACTGTCAGTGGAGAGTGTGAACTGTGCAGAGTCTGAGTTTTGATTAAGGATATCTGTAAGTGCACAAAATGATGATGAGCACTTAGAGAAACTCTTCTGAGAGTAAAGCAGGTCAGAATAATGTGCTCTTCTTGGTTGTATGCATCATGTCAGCCATCCTGTATAAGGTCCAATGTTCATGTTGAATTTTGAAATGGATGCCCATTAAGTTCAGGCTGCACTCCCTTAACCTTTATTGTACGAGCATTTTAAATAGGTTTAGGAAAAAAGCAACCCAGAAATAAGACCCCCAGAGTTGGCAAAGGCAGAAAGTGCCATCACCGTTTTGTTCAGGTAAGATTAATGATGCCTTCATTTTTGCTACAAGCAAGTCCAACTTCAGCACATTCCTTTAAAATGAATAGTATGGCCAACCCCCCACAGGAAATCTTTTGATCGTGTCGCAGGATGAGAGATTTGCACTCTCTGAACACTCGGAATTTGTTCTCAAATAACAATTGCTCTGGGGTCATTTAAGAATTTTTTAAAATTTGATCTCCCTCCTATTCACTTGCACTCCTTTTTCCAGGGGGTGGAGAGGACCAGGATTAGCTCCCCTCCTCAACCCCCCCGAAGTCTGTTCATCAAGCATTGCATTGCGATGAGTTCAAGTTCATAGCTGAACAGAATCCTCCTTCCTTTCATAATGAACTAGGAAAAGAATATTTAAAAATATATAGATTTAAAGAAATGCTTCCAATCGTGCGATGCTCTGCATCTTCCTTCGCTTTATTCTCAATGAACGAAAACGAAAAATTATAAATATATTGCTTGAATCATTGGTGGCAATACACTCACATATTAAGAACATGGATAATAATCAGCCACATCCCTGCGTGAATGTGTCTCAACGCTGTAAAGTGAATAATCTGATATGTATAAATATATATACATGAATAATTATGAAGCTACCACCCGGGTGGGTTTTTTGCATCCTCATCTCGGGTGGCTTTTTTCCGCTTTTGTTAATTCTGGGGGTCTTTTTTCGGATGGCTTTTTCCAAACCCCGAACCCCATTTTAAATACTTGACTTCCCTGATGGCCGGATATTAAATATGGCCTTTAAGGTTACGGTTCACAGGCAGGCGGGTTAACCACCCCTTCTTCAATTCACTCCTGCAGCATGGTTTTCTCATTTCAAGCGCTTGTTCTTAGATGAAAGTAAAGTAAATCCAAATAAAATGTTCATATTAGGCATGCCAAGCAGTTCCTCCCCAAGGCGACGCTAGAGGGCCTCGAAAACGAATTTTGCGAATTTCGTGCAGAGTTTCACGGCCAAATGCCTTCGTGTATGGAGACAATCTTTGGAGGGGGAATAACTGAGAGGCTTTACTATGTTTTGTCTGTCTTAGATTTTCAATTATCCCTTCATGAAGTGAAATAACTCCTCCCCTAAACCCCCCCCCCCCATAAAATTGAAATTTGAACGAAAGTAATTATTCACTCCTAATCCTAGAAAAGCGCATTTAATCCAAAATTTTCTAAACAAAACATGGCCCAGTCTTTCCAGGTTAATTTGCAATCAAGGAATTTGAAATACAATTAGCCGGTATAATCGTGAAACACTGCCCCGTGAAACAACTTTTTCGGCCATAGACATAGCACGGGACGAAGTATTTTCCTGTCTCCTGCCTTACGTGACACCTATAACTTCTTTTTTGGATGGGCGCTTAAAGGCTACAAGATCAGGGGCCTTTTTCACGAAACTTCTTTAACTTTTCTTTAACTTTACTTTAACTTTACTTTATCTTTACTTTATCTTTACTTTATCTTTACTTTAACTCAACTCAAAATCCATTTCACGAAGCCTCCTTAGTTTCCATGGCAACATTATCAGAGACATGCTGAGCTTGGGGGATGTTATCAAGAATACACACAGGTGGGCATGGTTTCCGTAGCCCTCAGAGAGGTTAAAGTCGAGATTGAGAGACCTCCAAAGGTGTCTTTATTTTTTCTTTATTTTGAGTCGAGATAACGTCGAAATATAGCCGAAATAAAGTTAAAGCAAAGTTAAAGAAAAGTTAAAGACGAAATAAAGTTAAAGTAAAGTTAAAGAAAAGTTAACGACGAAATATAGCTGAAATAAAGATAAAGAAAAGTTAAAGACGAAATATAGCCGAAATAAAGTTAAAGAAAAGTTAAAGAAGTTTCGTGAAAAAGGCCCCAGGCCTCTGCAAGCACCCTCACTTGCTCGTGTCGCACAGCCAGGGAGGTGGAATATTGGGCAAGAAGGAGAAAAGGAAAAGCGAAAGATGTAATCCCGCTCACTCCTTCCTCCGCTCATTTCCTAGCAGCAGCGTGCAGAGAGTTTTTGCAAAGTGGGGCGGCCTCAGTCTAATGGCCACTCACCCTCGCTTTCATCTCGGTTGCACAGCGGCGGAGGAAGCGGAGGGGCCAGGAACATGACATGCATGCAGTGACGAATTAAAGGGAAGGGGGGAAGGGGGGTTATGATTATTTTCTACTGTACAGTCACTTGCGAGAGCTGCCATAAATAACAACGAGAGGTAAGGATAATTCGATAAGTTCTGTCGTTAAAGGCAGTGGCATGCCGACCGATGGACGCGTGCCTGAGCCTAACACAGCAATAGTCGTGTGAATGAAAACAGAAAGAAGCCATCCGGCAGTCATTTTTTTCACTCAATCTATGTCGAGCTATGTTAAAATAGTTTTTTTTTAATAATTGGGAAGGAAAAGAACGTCGTGGGAGCATTATCGTCTTACATTTATGATACTGGATGAATGTAAATGACCTTATGATCTTCAAGACGGAATCTTGCGAATCCTGTTAACCGCCTAGTGTGAATGAACCTTGGCTTAATTGAGACACCCAATGAAAGAGAGTTCCACAGATTGCCTCGACATCGTTATTGTGGCCAATTACGATACCTCGGGACCATTCGTTGACTTATGAGGAAAGATACGAACTTTTGCGCTTTCGTGAATACCGAAATTGTGCAGCATTCCTACGAACTGCGTACGAAGATCGAATGAACATCTTACGCAAAACTTCGAATGAACATCTTACGCAAAACTGTTTCATGAATACCACTTACGAACTTTGTAAGAACCTCGTGGCAGGAGAGGTTTGATGAAGACCCCTTGCGAACTTTTCTCTTCTTACGAAGAAAAAAGTTTGTAAGAACGTTTCGTGAATACGGCCCCTGCCTCTCTCCTCCTAGCCTCCTTGGTTGTCACCGAAAGTTGATACCACGTCAATGAAGAAGTTTGAGGTAATAAAGCAAAATTCTTCCTCTTCGAATTCGAAGATTCGAAAATTAATGCTCTTTCTAAGGATATATGATTTTCTTTCCTAGCTCTTATATAATAGTTTAGGCCAGGGGAGTCAAACTGGCGGCCCGCGAAGTCCTCTTCGACAGTTGACTACGGAAATGAACTGCAAATTTCGGCCTGTTTGCATTAAAGATAATGTTACATTTTTATTGTGGCCCTTAATCACCCTTGGTGGCTTCCATCCGGTCCCCCAGTCTAATCGAGTTTGATACCCCTGGTTTAGGCTGTGGAGGGGGAGGGGCTATCAATCAAATATGTGCAATACCCAGTACATGGATGCATAGATGCTGTTATTGCTCTCAGGCAAGGCCACTGGGATGAAAATCACAGCACAAACATTCTCTATGAAATTCCAGATACCTTAGCCAAAGTTAGTCTTGACCCCTCTGGAGCCTGACTTGCCTCTGCAACTCTTCTGTCTCATTTTTTTCCCCAAGGCCTAGGTCCTTGTTAAATATAGGTTTTCCCGACGAATTTCGGCAAAAGTTCATTCAAATTCGCAAGCGGCCGTTTCAATTTCGGCAGTGCTCCTGTCTCTTTCCCGTTTTCCCATTCAATTTCGGCAGGTAACTTTCGATTTCGGCATTCGCCGTTTCAATTTCCGCAGGGCAAGGGAATCTCTTCTTTTTGGGAATTAATGAGTATGAGGAATAGGGCAGGAAAGGGCACAAACGCATAGGGTATTTTTTGTTGTTGTCGAATAATCATTATTTTATTATGCAAAGGAAAACACATGGACATTGACATTGATTCTACCCATCGATAAGCTCTCTCCTTAGGCACCTGATCAAGTATGTTTGTGCATGGCGAAACCACGCAAAGCATTTCTGATGGGTGATATGGGCATGTTCTGCTAGATCCCATAAATGAGCCCAGATGACTTTCCTAACGTTCGCGTGAAGTTTCTGCCGACATATTCTCCTTTCTTGAATCCGACAGAACATGCCCACTCTGCATTTAAGGCAGCTGTCAAACGTGAGGTGTACCTTCCTGAAACACAGGTTGAACTTGGACGACGAAGACCAGAACAAAACTTCCAGCAAAGTCGGACAGAGAAATTGCTCGAAATAGGAGAGGCATCAGTTGGGCAAATAGAAGAAAATAGAAGCGCTTTGCGTGGTTTTGCCATGCACTAACATACTTGATTAGATGCCAAAAGAAGAGAACATATCGATAAATAGAATCAGTGTCAATGTACATGTGTTTTTCTTGGCATATTAAAATAATGATCATTCGCCGAAAACACCCTACGAGTATGCGTTTGTGCCCTCTCCTTCCCTATTCCTCATTCCCATGTTAATTACCAGAAACAAGATATTCCCTCGCGCTGCCAAAATTGAAAAGGCGAATGCCGAACTTGAATGGACTTTCGTCGAAATTCGTCGGGAAAACCTATATTATTAGCCCTTGTTGGATTAAGACAACTCCTATGCCATGATATAGGAAAGAGTTCATGTCAAAAAGGTGAAACGTATTACTGAAGGCAAGATGAGAGAGAATAAAAATAGCACGATCAGAGAACCAACTTCTTGAAATATCACAAAGAGGAAGAGCACTCACCTCTTTCCCTTCACGCATACGTTGATCCCTCGTGATCTGTGCCAATACATTTGCAGCCTGTTCTCCACCCATCACTGATATTCTTGCATTAGGCCACATGTACATAAAGCGTGGCCTGCAAAGGTAATAAAATAAAGGGGGCTTGTCAATGATATTATCATTCCATGTTGCAAAGGATGAGACTCAATAAGAAAAGCTGTAAGTGCATGATTTTGATCCAAAGTTAAACTGATGAGATGCTACAGAACTTGATGCATGATAGAGAAATATCTGTCTGCTATCATGCCATGTCCATTACTACTACCTCTTGAACCATGTGGTTCTTGGGGTACTTAAAGAATGAGTAGCTCAAACAGCTTCATAAGTGCCTCCATGGGGAAAATGCCAATTATTTGCAGATTTCCAGCATTTTCTCAATGGACTTCATAAAAAAAAGAACTTGAATACTTGTGTGAGAGTTGACTTCCTTTGTTTTGTAGTTGGTGTCACATAGACAATATTCTCCAATCTGAATGCTGCATGAAAGGCAATTCAAGCTGACACCAAGTGGACACATTAGGCAAGGATACCACTTCACAGTCTGCAGAAGGCCTTAGAGGCAGCTCACAGATGGTTTAAAGCAGGGGTGCACAACATACAGCCAGCAAGGCCCATGTCTGGGGCCCACCATGACTGGTGGCATTGTAAGTGCTACTAAGGCTCCTGCCCCATTGGCTACAGCTATGATCAGCCTGACTGCAGCCCACAGTCGGTGAGTGAAAATTGCAAATAGCCCTCACAGCCTTTTGAGTTGTGCACCCCTGGTCTAAAGCATGGTTGGGTAACATTTTCTGTCTTAGGAGTCAAATCTGGAAACCCAGGAGAACCATGAGCCACAAATAAATTTAAATTTAAATTTAAATTCCACCTTTAATGACCAAAACAAAAAACTAATAGTAAGAAATAAATATATTTATTGCAGCAAAGAGCTTGAAAGCTTTGAGATAAACAGCACCCCTGTAGGCTAGTATTAAATCCTGAAGGCAAGAGCCACTGTTGACTGACAAAAGACCAGCATACAGCTTGTAAGCCACTGGTTGCCCCACCTACAGTTTAGACCCTTGAGAGAATAATTTTCAAGTTGTACAGCATCCATATCTCCCAATGGTAGCACACAAAGCGATGAGTATGTTGCTGCATCATGCCTCACAGGTTTGATTGGAAGATTTAACACTCAGCTACTGAACCCAGACCCCCTGAACCCAATGGAAATTCCCACTAGTGATAAACTCACCCATAGGCCCTGCCACACATTCCATAGTTCCCAGCCCCATAGGATCCTCCAATGATGAGGGTGATTTTTGGCACTTGAGCACATGCCACTGCTGTCACCAACTTGGCACCATTCTTTGCAATCCCTCCTGCCTCGGCTTCTCGACCCACCATGAACCCTTTATGAATGGAGTTGCATGCCATCAATTATTAAAATTTAGATAGGGTAATTTGGGGGAATATGGCCCTACAAAATGAAACCTGGTCATAACAGCCCATCAAGGTCAAATTGGACTTTTACAATGTTTCTAAAATAATGATTCATATCTCCTTTACTAAATCCCAGCAAGGCACATGCAAAAAACCACATGGATATTGCACCCTTGGATCTTTACCAAGTCGTTCCAAAGAGGCCATATTACCCATGTTGTTGGGGGAATATAGCCACTTCTCAAAAAACAACTCAAGGTTCTCCAGGTACATCTGAAATATGCTGGAACATGCTGAGTACCTTGAAACATCATAATGGAGGCTCAGCAGTTGAAAATAAAAACATTAACTGCATTGAGGACTACCAAAGAAGTCTAAATCATTACCTAATGCAAGGACCTGTAGTGGAAAGCAGGATTGAAACGTTTTTGATTTTGAGTAGTATTGCACGTGATTGGGAGACTGTACCTAGAGACTGTGAGTCTAAGATGAGTGACCAATCATAAATTAAAGTGAACATGTGTTATGAGTGTAAATATAAGAGGTCTTACATTGCAGGAAAAGCGTTGCTTAGTTTTTGCATGTATGTATAAATAGTGCCAAAAATCAGAGAATGCCCTTTTACCTTTTGTACAAGGGATATTTACTTGCATACAAATTTCATGCTACGAAAATTTATGGAGTATGTCAAGTGGATGTCCAGGAGGCAGTGCATGAGCATATCCTCATGCACCGCCTCCTCATATACTGCATATTTCGTCCAGATGTCCAGTACTTCTATACATATATCCATAGGAAGAGCATTGGATGATCTTTTGCAGCCTGAGATCCCCCATGAAAGGAAACTGACACTATCAATAGGTCAGTGCAGTACTAACATGAAATGAAGGATGTGTCCATATTACCCCAAATCAAGATGGCCATATTCCCCTATATTGGCCTTACATGACAAAATTGACAACACTGTCTGCAAACCACAAGTGACGGGGCTTGCATTTTCCACAAGCATTCTGGAGGGACCATAGAAGAACTTTGAACAAATGGTTTCTGTATCCATGTTGCTATATGGAAATATACACTAAAGTTGCTCAAGGCTCATATTACTTTCAGGGTCATGAGTCAAAGAATCGCATGCATATGACTTTTAAGATATTGATGTATCCCGAATTCCTGTGAGAACTGGATCGATGAACAGGTCTAAACATTTTGACAATTGCTTGTGCTCTTTGATAGAACAATTTTTTTAAATTCACCCAAACTAATTATGCAGTCTGTAAGGGGATTCATTGTGGAGGGTCATATTCCCTCAAGTTACCCTATGTATGAACCAGGTCACAATGAAATATAAACTGAAATAAACACTTCCTCACATCTGAAAAGAAATTACTTTACATTTTAAAATTTTTTCTTCCATTCTGTAGGAGCATGAAGAATAATAAGTACATCCCCATCCACTTCTGCCAATGGCACCATGAAAATGAAGAAAATTATGGCTTTCCCAGGATCTTTGCAATTCATTTCAATCACTGTCTGGAAGCCACTTATGATGGTGCTTCTGGAAATGTGAACCACTTTTACTAACTTGTGGCAGAGAGCCCTTTGAATTTCCTGGAAAAATATATCTTGAAGAACATCATGCATGTAGGATAATAAATATGGTTGCTTTTTTGGTGATTTCAAAAAAGCAACCAACTTCCTGGCCCATAGAAGATGGCCAATGCTGAAAAAAAAAAATTACAAAGCACAGTAGCCAAAATTTAAATTGTTATTGGAGAATTCTAATGAAACACCTTTGATCCCTGCACCTAAGGGAAACAAGGAAAACTGAGTTTCAGAGATGATGCATAAAGAGAAAGAGATTTGGATTTTCATAGATTTTCTGCTTAACACATTGAGGATGGATCACAGAGATTTCCATGTTTTCATATATTGGGTTTTCATATGTCCGGTTGTTAATGTGTTAAGAAAGACCATATCAGAGAAAAGATAATATGTCCCATGAGTTTCCTGGAAAAGATAACACCAGGGGTTATGAAATACCAGAATTTAAAGAAGGCAAGGACTTGGGAGCAGAGTGCAGTATGGATGTGATAGACAAATGCCTCAAGATGCCTAATTCAGGGTGTGCCAAAAAAAATTAGGTTATCTTCATCACTCCATAGCACTGGTCCCCAAGAGTTTGCAGAGAGGAAAGAGTCCCAAGAGGCAGGGCTGGAAACGTGAACAATGCCCTGGAAGATTGTGTCGAGGAAGCAAAGGAATGGACATCACCAGGAGGACATCTTGCAGGGTACTGGTAAGTTCACTTTTCATGTGCTACCTGTTTCTCTGCATAACTGCATCAGAATGATGGAATAGATCTTTAATCTTTTGACAGCAGTTGAAAGTTAGATAAATATTCTATGTAGAGACGCTATTGCAATATTTTCAAACTCTTGAGAAACTAAGCTGTGAAGTGTTAAAGATAACCGAAGATTTTTGGCCCACTCTGTACAAGCACCTTAAGAAAATGTGGAATGAAGCCATGAGCAGCAAAGGAGTCCTAGGACAAACAGACCAACAAATTGGTGTTATGAAGATTGATGCAGCTACTTGGACCAGCTGAAGAATGGAACAGCAAAAATAAATCATACACAGTATCATGTGGGGAACAAAATCAAGAGCAACATCATCATCAAGTCATCAATCTTTAGATTGGTTTGTCACAGCTCTCCATTCCTCTCTCTGCTCTGCCATTCTTTTCATTTCTCTGTAGTTGTTGCAACCCACATCTTGTATGATCTGTTGTGTATACCCTAGTCTAGGTCTTCCTCTATAATTCTTTCCTTCTATCATACCCTCAATCATGGTCTTCAGCATCCCTTCATGTCTCAACGTGTGTCCCATCAGTCGGTTTCTTCTTTGTACTATACTTTTCCATATCCTTCTCTTTTCGTGTGCTTTTCCGAGTACCCCCTCATTTGTTATTCTGTCCACCCATGGAATCTTCAGCATCCTTATGTAGCACCACATTTCCACCACCTCCAATCTCCTCTTCTCTGCAGTCACTATTGTCCATGATTCACATACATACAGTGCCACACTCCATACATAGGTCCTCGAGAATTTCTTTTTAACTTCCAGGTTGACAGAACTAGATGTTAGAAGTTGCCTCTTTTGGTAAAATGCCTTTGCCTGTGCTATTCTGCTTGCTATTTCCTTTCTACTTCGTTCATCCTTAGTTATCTTACTTCCCAAGTAGTAAAATTCATCAACCTCCTCCAGCTCTTTGCTTCCCAATCTTACTTGCAGTTATCCCATCCGGTTTCTACCACATAACATCACTTTTGTTTTGTTCCTATTTATTCTCATGTTGTACTTGCCCCTTAACGCTCCCTCCATTTCATTTAAAAACCTTTCTAAGTCTCTTTCTTCCTCTGCTAATATTGCGGTGTCGTCTGCGAAACGAATCATGCTGACTTTCTCTCCATGAATTGTCACTCCTATGTCCATCTTTCACTGAGTTCATTCAATGCCTCTTCTGTGTATACATTGAAAAACAGAGGTGACAGTGAACTCTGTGAACAGTAAACCTTACTCCTTTCTTTATTTTTGCTTCCTTCTGACTCTCTTCACATCTCACCACTGCCACCTGGTTCCAGTATAACCCATGTATCAATCTTCTATCACCATACTTCACTCCTATTTTCTTCAGTGTCCACTCCTTGTCCCCCTGTTTCTTCTGAAGCTGAATTGATCTTCTTCTGCCAAGAATTCTTCTATTTTGTGTTTTATTCTTCTGTATATAACTCTTGTTAGTATCTTCGAAGCGTGTGATGTCAGGCTTATCATACAGTAATTCTCACATCTGTCTGCTCCTGCCTTCTTTGGTATTGGCACCATTATGTTTTTCTTGAAATCCATTGGCATTACTCCTGTTTCATATACAGTGGTACCTCGCATAACGAACGCAATTCGTTCCAGCGGTGCGTTCGTTATGCGAGGTGTTCGCGAGTGAAAGTGAAACATTTTTTCCTAATTTCCTTGATTTTTCGCAGCGACGTGGAATGGATTACATGATTAAACGCACCGCTGGAACGAATTGCGTTCGTTATGCGAGGTACCACTGTATATCACATACCAGTTTGTAAAGTTTATCATAGTCCTTTTTCCAGAGCACTTGATTAGCTCCGCCAGGATATCATCTATTCCCACAGCCTTATTTGCCTTCAAATCCCTTGGCACCTTGTCAAATTCAACTCTCATTATATAGTCGTCTTTCTCTTCCCCTTCTACCCTCTCTGTCAATCAAATCAAGTGCATCAGATGGATATCAGATGATGTGATGCTTTATCATTTCTTAAGTACAAGAAGAGACGTGTGGAATCCAGTAAACAGTTGCAATATGAAAGAAAAAGAGAGTTTTGGAGCTTGATAAGGGCAGCAAGTATGCATTTGACCTTTGGTTCTGCCCATGACTATGGAAGGGCATAATACTGTATAAGAACATTTCAATCTCTTATGACACATGTGCCAACACACAACATCTTGGTATCAAAACCTATCTTTTTTTTATTTCTTAGCATAGAGTGGAATGATGGATTTAACATCCAGGATAAGTTACTTCCTTTAGTTCAGAGGGTGAATGGACTGTCTGTCATGTCTCTCATGAAAAGAATGAGGGGAAAGCAAATGCCAACCTGTAATGTTCTGAAGGAAGATTAGTGGTATTCGGCGCTTGCAGCAGAGTTGGATGAAGTGAGTGCCTTTGTATGCAGACTCAGAGAAGAGAACTCCATTGTTCCCAATGATTCCTACTGGGTACCCATAGAGACGTCCAAATCCTGTCACCAGCGTCTCCCCATATTTTGCTTTGAACTCCAAGAATTTTGACCCATCCAAAATCCTTGCTATCACCTACATCCACCAACATGCCTTTAAAGGACCTCAACTCAAAAATGTCATCAAAATCAGAAAAACTTTAAAATTTAACTTCAAAATTCCAAATTGAAGAGGGCCTAATTTGCAACAATCATGGTACAGCAATTTCAGCACAAAATCTGTAGAGGGGACTCTAACTTCTTTCATAACTGACTGGACTATCACCAGTTGACTCAATCAACAGTAATACCTAGACTGGATTGAGAAACTTTTGCTGAGTCTCCACCAACTTATTTTATAAAGTTATTCAAAATCAAGTATTCAAAATTGTAAAGGATAAACAGATTTTGAAAAGGCCTGTTGTAGGGATTGACAACAGATGCTAAAGTTTAATATGATTCCTACTGGATTACTGGACAAACACTATTGCATTCCTTTTTAATTCCCATTTGACTCCATTGTAAGGGAATTAAAAATGGTCAGTATACTCTTGATAGAATAAAGCTGAACTTGAACAACCTAATTCAATTCTGCCACTGGTGACCCAGTGACCTAAAAGGTCTTCAAAAAGTACTGGCAGGATATGTGTCAGACCCAGGCACTGGCTATAACTACTGGAGGGAGAAAGATCCTTTCACCTCACGGACGTCAAATGTCTTTTTGAGATTATCCCCAACAATGCCATAGAGATCAGAAGCAGGGTAGAGGGGATCTTCAGATTTCTCTTGGGACAAGGTGACATCGGGTAGCTTCTCCAGGTTCATCTCTACCACTGCTTTCCTGGCCAAGTATAGGGCATGCTCATCGTCCAGAGCATAATGATCAGTCACACCTGACTTGCTGTGTTCCGAGGAGAAAGGAGATGAGAAGATGAAGGAAATGAGATCACCTCTAATCAGCTGTTGCATCAGCAAAAGGGATAGTGAAAAAAGGAACAAGTATGGTCTTCAAGTAAATACTGAATCACATGGGCAATGTCACTTCATTCTTGACCCTATAGCAACACTTAACCACTTGGGAACTGGATCAATTTTGGACAAAATTACCCCTCAGATGGGATTAATTTGATCAAAAAAGCACATTTTTTAATGTGGATTGTATTCACTTACTAGGTGCATCTTTGATGAATAAAACTCATAAAATGTTCAAGCAAACTATTGTTTTATTGTTTCTTTGTCCTCTTCTTTTTCTGTCTGTTTCTTTTGTCCTTTGTGAAATTGTTTTCAAACTAGTAGTGCAATTTTACATGGTAATTCTTAACTAAGCCTCAGGGGAATCCACACAGTTTGTCGAACTGTTATTATACTAATGTATTTCAGTTTGGGAAAATTCATGTTGATGATCATCATCCATCCCCAAGTGGTTAATCTTTTCATGTGCATGACTCCCTAACAGTCCTGGCTTGACTTTGCAACTTCACCTGTCTACTAAGACTCCAATACCCAACAATTGATTCCCCTAACCTCGGCATTTACCCCAAGACAGCCTTAGGGTGAAAGGGCCCATCTACAAGCAAAAAAAAAAAAAAAGACCTACAACTTTTAACCAAAACATTTCTGCTCATAATGAAGCAATTTTTGCAAAATTTTCATCATGCATACATATTTGTCTCCAACTTATCAAAATCTCATTAAAATTTGTTAAGCTGAAAAAATACTGACAGCAATTATTTGAAAATAATTTTCTCAATCAAAAGAAGGTTCTCAATGTCTAACCTACTTTCAAAACTGCTGATGGTATTGCTTCAGCTCAATAAATTTTGATGAAATTTTGAGAATAAGTTGCAAACATCTACCTTACTAATGAGGGTAAGAGTCTGCATGTCTGAGGCCACTTCTCCTCCTAGATGGTTTGATCTCTGACCATGAAACTTCAAACATAGGCTTCCTAGGGGTGGGGCATCAGGACGACAGAGTTTGGTGGCCCTGCTTCCGATGGGTTGCTGGGCCATATGGGTCACCAGGGTCATTTTTCATCAAAGTAACCTCCTTCATTATGTGTGGGAGTTACTAAATCCCCAGGGCTTCATTGTCAAGTTCATTTTTCTAAGTGACCTTTCCCCTTTGAGATATTAGAGGTCAAAGGTCAACATTTCAGAATCATTTTCCCAGCCAAGCCTTGCACTCCGAGTCAGATCCAGAGGATCTGGGCTTCGACTAGTAAATATGTATGCATAATGAAAGTTTTGCAAAATTGCTGCATTGTGAGTGGAGATATTTTGGTTAAAAGTTAGTATTTTTTGCCATGCCCTGTATGTACAACATATTTCCAGCAAAGGAAATAAAAACATTTTCCACAATGGTTATGTAAGTATTATATGTATATGTCTTAAAAGACAACTTTGGCAAGAGAGAAATTTGCAAGACAAGAGAGAAATATCAAAATAAAAAAAAAGAGTGCTGGAGCAAAAACAGTTGAAAAGTAAGAAAAAGAGCATTATAGAGGTTAAGCCCTTTCCCTCTTACTCTTCTCAATCTAGGTACATTCAATCTTTCTTTAGCTTCAAGTTGATCAAGTTCAAATAGGCTCCCTTGGGCCCAATAAATTTGACATTTATTCCTGAGATACTGAGATAAATCATATATTGTACAGCTCTTTGTCACACTACTCTTCTCATCCCAAGGACCCATCTCTCATGCCCTCCAATTTGAGAAATGCTGTCCTATTCCAACATGAGACACTTTCCTATCCAGGGCTTCCATGGTTCATGGACTTGGTAGGGGGTGTAACAAAAAAACATACACTTTTAAAATATCATTTTCTCATGAAAAATAGGACTTAGAAGGTGGAAATGTAGTGTATTTGATAGAGAATTTTTAGATAATCATTAATATCCAATATATGCCCCATCTTTTCCCTTGACCTTCTTCAGTCACTTAGTCATAGATGAAGCTGGCCTTTTCAGCAAAGTGGGGTCCATGTTTTTCCATTCTTCTTTGATCACATATGTCATTCCCATCACACTTTTGGGTTGGCGCTGCCTCACACCCTCTTTCATGATTGCTCAGAGGTTCTCCATAGGATTGAGATGGGGGCTATACCCAGCCCTGATATTATTATCCCCTTTTCCAGAATATCTGTCTGGGCTGAACAGTCTCACCATTCAAAACTAATGACATCCAATGGTTCAAAAAGCAAAACAATAAATGTCATTATTGATTAAAGAAACTGACCATCATGGATTGAACTAACCCCTTGTTACATCACAGATAAAGTCTCCTCTATGCCCAAAATGTGACTCAGAAGAGAAGACTCTACTCCATTATGCAATGGAGCAGGCTATATACTCCTTTACCAGATGTGACAAAGTTTGGAAACAACCAAGCTTGATCTAGCTGAACAAAGCCATTATACATGTTTCAAATCATGACTGTAAGACTAGATGAACTCCTACTACCTCACCATCAACAGCCCTAGAAGTGACTCCTGGTTCAAGGTTCAAGGTTTAAGCTAGGACACAAAAAGGAATTTTTGCTCTAATTGATGTCCATAACTTAGCTTGAGCATTCACCCTAATCCCTCCTTGCAATTCTAGGGTAGACCTACTCATCTAAAGATGGATATTTTTGTTGGAGTATTACAGTCACATCTTTTCTTACTGAAGGCTATCTTTATCTTTTTTTTATTACTGTTGCTCATGCAGGCATCTAACCTCTTAAAGCTATCCACAGAATGGACAGCCACTTAACTCATTATTTCCTGGGTCTCATTTACCACATGATTCATAAAAGAGTCACTCCATATCTCAAGTCCCACCTGAGGCAAAGGCAATTTGAGCTGATTTCCTTAATTCTGCTGTTACGATCATGACAAGCTCAAAGTTACTAATGTCCTTCATGATCTTAAAATCATTGAATGAGATACCCTAGGTAACAACTCTCCAGTCAATATGGTCCCACTGCAGCTATATGTTCTTCATAAAGAAGTCCCTCCTCCTTTACTCCACCCTGATAATTTTTTGCCCAACTCTGAACCCTCTCCAGGGTCATGAAATCCCTTCTGTTTGCAGGCTTCCAAAACTGGGATGTAATGGTCCAACTGGAGCTTTACTGATGATATGCAAAATAGAAGAATAAAGTGAGTTCCTGTGGGAAATAGAATGCATATGAAACCTGAAATTCTGTTATATTTAGGTAAGGTCACCTGCTCATTATGCAGAGAATTTCAGTCTCTCATTGATGAGAATATCTAAATCATATTCCCCATTTCTGTCTGTCTTTTCCAACCACAATCAGAGATCCATAGGTATTTGGTAGTTGCAAAATACCTCTTCAATACACATTCTTCAACCTAGTAAGTCAATTCCTTCATTGAACAATGGCAAAAGCATACTGGGCTCTCAGCAGAGGTTTCTATCAGCCACAAATAAAAAAGTCTAGATTATCTCTTTCACTGAGAGAAGCTTCCTGAGAATATTATACAAAGGGATAATTCTGAAGGGAAATAAGATGATTCCAGTGGCAGGCAATATGAATGCATTGCAGAGCTGTGTTTCTAGTAAATAAAATAATTAATGAATAAAACAACATTACAAGTGCATTAATTCAAGATTCAAGATAGTTAGTGATATCAAGAGGCAATTTCACCCATTTCAATATCACGTGTCGAGGTCAAGCGTTCCTTAATTTTAAGGTAGGCCTAACCCTCTTAAAGCTAAATATTTTTGTATTTTGCATTTTTAAATTTTTGTTTTGTTTTTTGTTTTTTGACTATCCTAGTTGCTTACTGTCTAGTACCTAACGTCAACATTGCCCCCCATCTTTTGCCTGTCCATGAAAGCATCCAGTTTCTTCTTAAAGATAGTCACAGAAGGGGCAGCCACTACTTCGTCATCTAACGCATTCCACGCGTTCACCACTCTGCAAGTAAAGAATTCCTGTCTCGACCTGAGCCGCACCTGCAGTTTGTGCAACATAAGTCAGTTACCTCTCGTTCTCTTGCTGTCATCAAACTGGAAAAACTTACCACACTCAACATTATCTATTCCTTTAATTATCTGGAAAGCCTGGATGAGATCACCCCTCCTTAACCTTCGCTCGAGCGAGTACAGTCCCAATACTTCTAAACGTTTCTCATATGATAGTCCCCTGACCTTAATCATTCTTGTGGCCCTCCTCTTAATTAATGGTGCCATAGTGCCAACGATTCCACTCAGGCTACCTTCAAGTTTATATTTGTCACCTTATATGTTTATGCTTCTTTTTAATGGAAAGATGGCCCTAGCCCTGGGTCATATTCACTCACAATGATAGTTGATGAAATCAGAAAGTACTGGATATTCATCAAAATCAATATCAATAGTTGAAAACCATTAGAGACTGAAATAATTAATCAACCAATAGATGTAAGCAAATAAGCAGATGAAGGAACCTGCAATGGAGGTCAGCACCACCAAGGTCCTCAGCTGAGATCTCTTCCCCTGTGGCTGCTTTGACAAGAGGTGGACCCCCAAGGAAGATGGTCCCCTGCTGCCGTACTATGATGCTTTCATCTGCCATAGCAGGAACATACGCTCCTCCTGCTGTGCAGCTCCCTAGCACCACTGCCAACTATAATTCCAAAAAGGGGGAGAGGAAAGCCACAATATCACCTGGCAATTTATAGGGTGATTTAAAAAAAATGCACCACCATTTCTATGGGAGAAAGTAAGATTAGTATATATTCAAGCAAATATGATAAGGTTCATAAACTCTTGATATTGGACATTAACAAGGTGTTGAGAAGATAGTCTGTTTTCTTTTTCATTATTTTTTACAATTCTTTGAGCAATGCTTTGCCTCATTACAAAGTTACAGGTGGATCATTACACCTCAAATGCAGTGAAGGTCTATGCTCCATCATCTCTAAATTCAATTAGAGTAGTTTGCTCAGTTTTGGCCTGAAACCAATTTTGACCAAATTCATATTTTTAAATTAGCTTCAAGACCAAATCTTTGGAACAGGCTCTCAGATGCCACTGATATTTGGCAGAGAGGCTCATGAGCCTATAAGTTTTTTTTTCTTACCAAAAAAGGGGTGTGGCACAAAGATAGCGGGCCCTCCAGTCAACAGCAGTGCCCTCTATTAGCATGCAGCGCCATCTTGTAGATGCGTAAAAACTTCTCTGTCAAGTGTCAGCTGCATCCAACTGTCCCTTGAAAAGTCATGGCCAATCAAAATAAGGTGGAGACATTATAATAACCACGTAGTCAGGAAGTTATCATCTGGGGGTTGGGGCCATTTTGTGCACCAATTACCAAATTAAAACTCACTTTTCTCAGCCTCCACTCGAAGTATAGACATGTTTTTTGGCTATTCTCAAAATAACCTGACTGCCAAAATAATTTGAATTCTGAGATGGACGAGCACAGATCATTACCTCATTCATGATGGAATGAGCCATCTCTAAACAGTGTAAATGGGCACTGCATGACTTAGGCAGGGGTGACCTTCATATAATCCACAATCATGCATGGTAAGCATCAACACAACATAGGTGGCCTACATCCCATATTACCTTCAAGCATGTGTTTAACAGGGATGACATAGAAGTGGTACCTGGGGAATCCCCTTGGCAGACATTCGAGCTTGATTGTAGAATATGCGTCCAAAATGATCACGGTCAGGGAAGACATCAGCCTGACGAGGGAGATTTGCACCCCCAGAATCCACCAAATAGATACATGGCAGATGATTCTCCTCTGCAATCTCCTGAGCTCGCAAGTGTTTCTTCACTGTGATTGGATAATATGTCCCCCCTTTCACAGTGGCATCATTCCCCACTATCATGCATTCCTGCCTGAAAATGAAAAAAACCTAGCTTCCAATCTCCATAGGTGTATTGCACATTTGTATATGATGTCTCAGATGAATGGAATCATTCAGAACTTACACCAACAGAAAAGGTTAAAAATAAAAATTTAATAATTTAAAATGCAACCAGAACTGTAATAACTAAGGTAGTCACAAAGCACTGATGTATCAATATCACCACCAAGAGTTGTGGGTATAGTTGACTTTAGGAGCCACTGCATTGATCCTGGACCGCTCTCATAACCATTAACCAATGTTCACTAACAGTGAAAGATAAAACAAGGCAAACCCCCTCAATCCCAATTAAAGATGATGGAAGTCATCCCTAAGTTCCCAAATTGATTATTGCAGCAAGAAACAATTGATGATTCCCCCCATAATAGCAAAGGTAGGTAGGTAAGCAAGTTTATTTGCCTAGATTCAGCTCGTCAGTGTCTACATATATAAAACAATAATAACTTTAAAAAACAAAAAGAACCAATTGAATTAGAGGAAAAGTGAGAGAGGGAGAGAGAAAAAAAAGCATCACTTAAGTCGTCACAATGTAAGAAAGGGAGATCCTCTCAGGCATCTCAAGAGAAACCTACTTCTAAATAAGGAAATTCAGATTCTTGGGAAGACTAGTCTCTTTCTTGCTATGGGTCCAGTATGATGGTGGAAGGGGGCACATTCTGATTGCAAGGGATGCAAGAAATCCTCTTGAATTTTCTCATATAGCTGGATACCCGAGAGATGAATTTTCTTCAAAAATTCTTCCTTCTTATTTTATTGTAGCAAGAAACAATTGATGATTGACATAATAGCAAAGTAAGACAATGGAAGGTTCCTCCCCCATCCAGTGTTCATGGGTGGCAAATATTTTCCTGATGTATCAATAGTTCTAGATCATGTTTTAAAAACAGCCATCATGACAGTCCTTGTAAAAATACAAAAGGGATGAAATACCAATTTCTACCTTGGCAATACTTTCCACCAGCATTCTGTCATGTAAGAGAACATCAATGTGACATAGCATGGAGAAGCCATTCAAAGATTGCTTCTTCACTGAATTTTCAGCGCTTCAAATGAAAAATGTAATGTGATCATAAGAGCTGATTACCATGCTTTTACCCTGGGAGAAATGTTCTTTCTTATTTATCTTAGATTTCATGCACAAAAAACCATGAGGCTCACATGATATTGGTGAAATAGAATTAAACTGGCACTTTAATTCTTCAGACACAATGTAGACATGTGCAGCTTTCATTCTTTATTTAACAACCCACCTCATTGGCACCTTGGCCTTTTATAGAGCACAAGGTTTTGGCTTTGTGGTCTCTGGGCCTGCTGCTCACATAGGGTGGCAGCCCACCCTAACAGCAAAAAACTTTAGGCACCCATGATCCAAATCTATTACACCAGGGTGAGCTTGGAATAAAAGGGTGTGGCTTTTTTGCTAGCAGCATCCAATGACGTCATTTTAAGGCTTAGCTGCTTGGTGTTCTTGTAGTTCACTATGTTCTGCTGGCAGTTGCTTGCCCAATAGTGACATCATTCAATGAGGTGGTCTTGCCTAGCCAGTGTCTTTTTCACCAGCAGCTTCTAATGGCTGAGAAAAAGTAGCACCCAAGAATTCTTGCCTTTGTTCAATCATATTAATTGCAACATATGGAGGACTTGGTTTGGAATTCTGTAGTGCTTATATAAAACTTCCTGCCAAGGTCACTTTCTCATCCATGATGAGTCAGCATATCTGGCTCAATCATGTCTTGACTGTAGTCCCCCATTAATCACTTGAGATAATCATTGATTCTTACTATTTTTAATTCTGTAGCTTGGTTGAGGTGAATTCACCATAAAAAATAACGGAAGTCAGGCTTGGTGTATGACTGTACTGCATACTGTAGTTAGTGCTTGAATCCTAGAGAACATTTGAAGCAACTTCTGTCTGTAAATTGATTCATATTGAAAAGTTCTAAAAAAGGTTCATAAGAAGGGGAAAGGCTGTCATGTGAATGATGAACATAATCTTCAATGTCATTCTTCTAGAAAGTGCACTTCATGGTAATGTATTTGTTACCATTTAAAAAAAAATGAAAATAGTCTCAATTTTTTAGCAGTAACTAGGTGAAGTAACTGTCTTACATTTGAAAAATAAATTTCCAAGTCCTGGGCTTGATGAAGTTAGGGAAAAGAGGAATAAGAATGCAACACAAACCCAGAGACCCTCCCAATGCCAGTGATGATGCCTCCAGCAGGGACTTCTTCATCTCCATATAATCCGTATCCAGCGAGTTGAGAGAGTTCAAGGAATGGACTCCCTGGATCCAGGAGGCGATCGATGCGTTCTCGCACAAGAAGCTTCCCTGCAGATGTATGTCGTTGCAATGCCTTTTCCCCACCTCCTTTCACAATGCGACTCACTGCCTTTCGAAGGTTCCCCACTAGCTCCTTCATTGCAACCTCATTTTCCTAGGGAGGAAGGGAAATAAAGAGAGGACAGCATAATATGTACACATACATACACAACATTGCCAAAAGTATTCAAACAAAGGACAATATGACAAGCAACTACTATCCCATGTTCAAATTCCGTCAGCTCCAATCCACGCACCGTACTGGCAAACACAGATTGTAACAGGTTGCAGACAACCATTATATACTTTTGGGACAACAGTATTGCCCTCTACTACATGACCTCTGGGACAATCTGTTATAAGGAGAGGGAGGCTTGCCCCAATACTCTTAGCAATATAGTGTATACATATATATAAATAAATGAGGGCTAGATAAATGTCCTGGGCTAGAGGCCGGACATTTCCTGCCTGTTGCCGTGGGGTGGCTTTGGCTGGGAGGAATATCGCAGTTTTCTTCTATTCAATCTATATATAAATAAATTATATATATAAATAAAGATTTAAAACAAATATATTGCCTAAATAGGCAATAACCTGGTTGTGCAGTAAACTGCCCCCAACCAAGGTATGCACAGATAGAATAAAAGAAGTTACATTTTGGTGCCAATTCTGGCCAAAACCACCCAAGAGCAGCAAAAAAATGCACATCTGAACTCAGAAACATGGAACAGAGGCCAAAATCTGAAGGCCAAATTATTGTAAATAGCAGGCCCATGAAAGAAAATGTGCAGCCTAAGGAAAGGCCCTACCATGCATCCAGTTAACTGTGCCATGCACCGACAGATTGGAGTGATGCCCAGATTGCTTCTATGACCTTCAGGCCTTAGCCTATTTTTCTTTCATAGGCTTGTGTCACACCAAGGTTTGCCTTCTTTTCTATTTTTTCCATAGGCTTGAGTCATTCCAAGCCATGCTCTTGCTTCATTACTTCCATAGGCTTGTGTCTACCATGTATTCCAGTCACAATGCTGGTTCAGTTAATCGATTGCTAACTGTGGCACTAACAGATGGACATAATCTGAGATTGCTTCCAGGACATTAGGTACTGCTTTAACTACATAGATCTGCAGCCATAGCACCTTATGCCAGAAACAATTCTGGATGGAGTTTGTTTAGTCAGACATGTGGCCTTGACTCCTGCAGCCTGATGAAGCAGGCTGCTCGACAATTTTTCTAGGATGGGATCCTTTGCTGTCCTTTTTCTTTTCAACTTCCTCAAGCTTTACCACAATTCTACAAGTTATTTGCAATAATTTGGCCTTTGGATTTTGGTCTTTGTTGTGTTTCTGAGTTCAGAAGCTGGACATTTTTTGCTGTCCTTGGGTGGTTTTGAATTTTTTTTATTTTTGCATATGAAAATGTAACCACTACCATGTGCATCATAGATACCTATGCACTTGATCCTATCACACTTTGTTTTATATCATGCACACAAGTCATTTCCCATCTGAAAAAGACAGGATTAAGTTCATTTGTGATAAGCTTTCAACTACTTCGAACTTATACTCATCTGGTTTTGCCTGCAGGAAATGAACTAAGTTTATGATGAATATTACACATATGCAGCTGACCATACTGATTCAGATATAATGACAGTATTCATGGTGCATTTTTCACATTTCTGCTATACTTATTTCTCCACAATGTGGAGAAACGAATCAATGAATCAATAAAAAGAAAACACGAGGAGAAAGAAGTGAGATGTATACTGACCTGGAATCCAGGACTTTGTTTCTCAACTTGGGACTTGATTTTGGGAGCAACATCATAGACCAAGGGACGCCTGGATAGGAAGCAGGGAAAGGGAAAAGCCATCTGCATTCCATAAAAACTCCATGAATAGAGTGTGACATTATTTGGTCTCCCCAGTTGTAGACTAGGGATACTTCTGATTGTTGATCTCATGGTTCCCCTGTCCCAGGCACACACATACTAATTTCACAACCAATTGCACACACTCTCTCTTCCAGGATTATCTATATTAAAACAACAAGTTGCATAATATGACATAGAATAGAATAATTTCAACATGTATGCAGGTAAGGGCAAATGATAGGGATACAGACAATGACAAAAATTAAAGACAATGCATAAGAAAAAGGTATAAATAAATATAAATAAATTGAATGCAAATGCAAATAGTGGGCAATAAGGCCATCCATTGAACCCAACTGGGTTCATCCTGGATGGCCAGGTTGGGATGCAACAAAATGTTGATTATTTTGATTGATTGACTCTTTTTTTGCATAGGGATCCAGTCAGCCTAATCAGCCAATTATGTAAGGAGCTGGTTCCTGCAGTAGATTCTTTTCATTATAATAATTTAATAATTTGGATTTAAAGACTTAAATTGATATGGCAACCCTTATATCCTCCGGCAGTTCTTTGAATATTGACAAAGGTTAAAAACCTTCTTGTACGATGTTTGATTCGATAAATTTTGTATTTGTTCTGGGTATCTTGACATTTTCCTGCTTTAGATGCTCTAATGCACTCCAGAGGTACTTGAAGCCTTGAAGTGTAAGGTCATCCTGGAGAGGCCCTTTAACTGCATGAGGTCAATGATAAATAAAAGGAAACCCAACCAGAGAGCTTAAATGATTGATCCCAGTTGCTATTTTTTGCCAAAAATGCAATGTGAACACTGTGTAGAGAATCAGTGATGTAGACAGGATTATGCATGAGGATAGACCTATAAACATTAAAACATTCTGCTTTGTGGAAGTAAGTTTATGTCCTCTCCTCTGGTGAACAACTTTAGAGAGTCCATCATTGTCTAAATAAAATTGCTTTTTCTCCCATACCTTTAAAATTGTTTACCACTTTTGACTCTTGCAAAGTTCAATCAGCACTTCCAAGGTGTGCAATTGGAATTTGATATTTACATTAAATTATCACCCCCCACCCCACACACACTGATTACAATGCATACTTCAATTTATTATGATGTTTTACAAATTGTTCAACTATACTGTTCCTTTCCACGCACCTAGTCCTTAAGATAGAATAAAAAAGATTGACTGATTCGCTAAGTTGGGATCGGAACGCCGGACCACGTTTAGGCCTAGCCTACTATCACCCCGGTGTAATGCTTCAAATATCTCATCGTGAAGTCATAAGAAGCAAGGAAGACTCCCTCCACCCAAAACGATCCTGCTTATTGGCGTCAACGCTACACTAAATGTATTAAACGGATGATAACGTGCTCGTCGTGGCGAGGCCCACCTCGTGAGTAACTCGTGAGTCTCAGACTAAAGCCAATAGGAGGGAATACACCACAGCCTGCGAGCATGCACTAGCTTGCCCTCCGCCGCTCCACTCCGACTAACTTCTCTCCGTTTTGGTGTTTTTTTTTATTTATTTTTTATTTTCCCCCAAATCTCTTTCTTCAGGGTGAGGAATGCTCTAACGGCTAGAGTCTAGCGTCCTTTCGGAAGTTTCCTGCTTCAACGTTAATTCTTCAGCTTTTTCAGCAACGGTGTCAATATTGGATTCCGACTTCATCATTCCCTTCTGTCCTGGTACATCCTCCTCATCCACATGGTCTCTTTATCATCAACAAGAGGATTCGGCGTTTTCTGCATCACGTCAAAACATATTGCATTTACTTCAAGCAGTTTTGATGCACAGTTTAGGTTACCCAGGGCCAGATTAAGGGGAGGCTCTTCGTCCCCCCCTTCGCTACACCACTGGCCCCTGGCCCCACTTTCCAGAGGGTCCCCGAAGGAATTTAAAAACATTAGGTATTTACGAAAATTAGCAGACATTACAAACTAAACTGTGCACAACCAACGGTAGACTGTGTAGCTCCTCTAGGCTACTTACACCACCAGGCAAATTTTACCTGCCAAAATGTCTTGTGGGGGAGGCCAAGAATCCACCTTGCCATGGGCCTCGCAACTTCTTTATCCAGCCCTGGGTTACCCCTGCATGGGCGGTGGGAAAGCTATGTAATATTTCTTATACAGAAGGTTCTTCGTAAATTTAGTTTTCCACCTTGGAAAATAAGAACTCAAGATTAAAGGTTACTCGTGTTAGCTTAGGTTACGGGGTGGTGGTGGCTTAGATGAGGAATAAGTTAGCTGGTGTCCCAGAGTCAGGATGCTATCATGGCCTTAGTATTTATACCTTATCGAATCGCATCGTTATCCAGGGGGGAAGAAGTCCCGATCCGCTCTCTCTTGAAAGTGTAGCGAACCCCAGGGTGTCACAAGATATGGGGCACGAATGCCTCGCTACATATGGGGATCAGACCCAATGTGGTCGGATGGTAATCAGGAAGGTTGCGTGTTCTTATAGATGGTAAATTAGCGAGGGAGAAGCGAAGACTCAGATCTCTCTAGANGGCGGACTCGTGTCGGGCAGAGGTGAGGGCGTGAAGGGGCGAGAGGAGGTCCGCTATTACTATTCGGCGTAGTAACTCGGGGACTCTTCCCCTCTGCTCATCCATGGGCACGAGGAGGACTCCACAAAAGAAGCTATTCAACGCGTATCCACGCGTTCTTAATTAGTTTGGACAGTGCATATTTAAGATGCAATGTAATACTGCAAACTGGTCTAAAATTGGGCACTGTATTGTCCATATTTTCAACTTATGGAGATTTATTGAATTAATAAAACTTTATAACATCTAAAACCGCTCTTTTCAGTTAGTCAAAAGCATTAGGCCGCACTCCCATAGTATCGATTGGCGCCTTGGCTTAAGGTTGCGGCTTAGCGGCTAATACCTCAAGTGCCACAAATACCACAACCACCAGTAAACTTCAAATATTTGTCAGTGTGTCCATATTTTGTTAAATTCAAAGGTGGCAAACTTAATTCTAATTCTGTCTAATTAATTCTAAAACTGTCCTCGCGAGTACGTGACGCAAGGACAGGTTTTCTGTACTTCTAGTGTCTTTCTCCAGCAGGCATTCCTCAGCTTCTAATAGCTCCATCATGCAAGGTTTTCTAGAGGAGAGTCAATCTTGCATTTTAACCTCTGCGGCAGCGATTCCTAGCCTGTGTGCCGCGGCAGGCTGACAAGGGTGGCATGGGCGGTGAAGGTTTTTTTTTTGCCTGTCACCAGAGGAGAGCTAGAAGCCAAGAAGGCTGCAATGCTTTGAAGGCCAGGAGACTACAATGCACAGGGATTCAGAAGTGGACGAAAGCTGGCCAAAAATGGATAAATCAAGTTACAGTAAAGCGCTTTCAAGGTGTCGCACTTCTAACTTCAACCGCTCCTCTGAATTAAATCATGTACCAGGAGTACGCAATATTAATCAATTTTAAGCAAAATTTACTCATTGTGTATTCTTGAGATTCGATTTCAATAAGACAATATATCTTAAGAATACCAAGATCAATGTTGCTATTGTACTAAATATCCTTACTGCTCTTGTCACCAGATATCGATGTATGCCTTCTGGATGGATATTTTTTTTTTAGTTCAAGGACCTGTTTATAGAAGCTTCTAAATATTTTCTAAATAAAAGTCTTACTCTTTTCTTAAACGAACCCTTTCAGAAAAGAAATAGGATAGAAAAAGTCTATAATTAGTATATTAGATAAGAAAGTGACTTTTCTGAAAATACCTCAAACTGAAACTTTATTTATTCTGCCTCTGAATCGGAATTCCATCAGAAAGTCACATTATTAAGCACACTGATGATTACATCATCGGATAATGTAGCTAAATCCAGAGAAGTTCATTTATATCATACATACCTTGATATTTCCCATCGGAAAACTTTCGTGTATCGTTGGCAGGAAGGGGTTAACGACAGGTTGAAGGAGTTATGTGTCGCGGAGGGGGCAGTGTTTCTGGACACTAGGGAGGCTTTGAGTCGCTGTAGTCTCCGGTCTTGGTCGAGCGCTCGTAGCGTGAGGACGTGTTGGAGGATACTCTCGAGGTTCTGTCAGCTAAGTCGTGAGTTAGTTGTTACCTGGCTACTTTGTAGCAGTATTCATAAGTTTTCTGATAGCTAC